CTAGGTGGAGGCCATCGCTATTAAGTGGAGGCCATCGCTACTAGGTGGAGGCCATCGCTATTAAGTGGAGGCCATCGCTACTAGGTGGAGGCCATCGCTATTAAGTGGAGGTCATTTTTCTAGTAACAAGTGCCTTACTAGCATGTGATTGATCACCGCAGCATTTGCGGCTGCAAAGCCCTGAAGAGTCCTAAGGGGGACGAAAGCTAGGCATTTAATACCTTGCTGCAGTCGTAGAAAAGCTGCGTTGGGCTTGAGCGACCTGTTCTAAAGTTGTGCTAAGGATGCTACGCTCTCGGTATGAGAACAACTGCAGGACGACAAACGTTCGGAGCCCATGACGCGCCCATGACGCCCGCGACGTCTCGGTTTCCCTCGTTTTCAACGGTCAAGTCGTCCATCACCCAGCTAAGACACATTGGTGTTTGTGGCCAGTGCTGCAGTATGGAATACCATGTGCCTGACAAGTGGTCAAGGTGTTGAAGCGGCTGAAATCTGTTGAATCGAACCAAAGGAACAGGTGCAGCAAGCAACCAAACCCAATTAGGTCTACATTTCAGGAGCTACTGCTTCAGTTCAACATGAAGCCTACAGGTAACTCTTCCAAGAAAATCAAACCCACTTGCAAGCAAAGCTCATCATTCTTTGCGACGGAGCCCATCAGGTCATCGAGCATCGTTCCAGAAATGCCGTTCATGAACTTCTTCATCATATCTGAAGAGCTACCACCGAGGGCACCAACGCCAGTGACTGGTGTGGGGGCCGGCACAGCGGCCGGCGCCACGGCCGGCACCGCGGCCGGCGCCACGACCGGCACCGCGGCCGGGGTGGGGGCCAGCATGGCAGCTACGGAAGGAGCTGATGTGGCAGAACTCTCAGATGAGATGGAGGAGACTGTTGAGGCATCTGAGCTTCCCGATTCATCCGAGGACGAGCTGGCCGATTCATCCGAGGACGAGCTGGCCGATTCATCCGAGGACGAGCTGGCCGACTCATCCGAGGATGAGCTGGAGGCGTCATCTGAAGAAGATGTGCCTGTTGAGCTATCTGAAGAAGTTTCAGATCCCGATGAGCCATCCTCGGTCTCGGTGTCACTGCCTTGAGCATCCTTGAAAGCCGATTGGGCGAAGCAAGAATCCAACAGAGTGGAATTACAGCGATCAAATGCGGCATAATGCGACTATTGGGTTAAACTGTGGAAATCGTATGCACTTTGAAATTGGCATGGTCAACCCATCCAACCCCCCTCCTTTAGCATGCCCTCGATCTTCTTCAACTTTTCCAGCTGCGCTTCCGACTCTTCCACTGAACCGCCATTGCCCGCCTTCATCTTCTCCAACATCGCCAAGGCCTCTCTGATTCCATCCTTCGACATGCCTCCCTGAGACGCAGGGATGAGGATCGACAAACAAGTCCAACGTGTTTGTCCCTTTTTGTTGAGCCCGCCGTTACTTAATTAAGTAGGCGGCTACTTACTGTAATCAAGTAAGGGCTAGTCTAGTAGCTTAAGTACGCTACCAGCTACTGGACGCAGGATAGCTCACGCTTCTTCAAGGAAGCGTTTAAACACGAAAGAGCAAGCGAGTTGCTGAATCCAGGCTTTAAAAAAACGAAGCTTTGGCCATCAAGTAGTCATCTCCGAGGTTACCATCCTTGTCCCCAACCACTTGAAATGTAGGTCTTGTGGTGTGCATCATCAATTGACCAAAGGCTTCCTACAATGATGAACATTGCCAGGCCTGTGATATCTTGTCCATCATTTCCTGCGAAATATCACCAGAGCTTCCTGAGCTGCTTGACCAGCTGAAGGACCCGCCTCCTCCTGCTCCACCATGGCTACCTGAACTGCTTGACCACGTCCAAGAACCACCGCTGCCCATGTGGCCCTCCTTCATCAGCTTGTCCATCATCTCACTGGAAATGCCATTGTGGCTACCTGAGCTGCTCGACCATGTCCAGCTACCACTACTGCTCATGTGCCCTTCCTTCATCAGCTTGTCCATCATCTCACTTG